GTCACATGATGTAGCGGGACTCCCCACCCCCTTTGCTAAACCGGATGTAGGCATGACGCATCCGGCTCATGGGCTGAAAATTTGACAGCCCTGCTCTGGCCCTTATCCTGAGTCATTAAAGTTAACAAATTCTCTTAATTCTCCCCATAAAAATCCTGTCAATTAAACGAATTTGAAAGATTTGTTGTTGTTAGTTGTGAAGACATGTCTGACTCATCGCAACCCCATGGACAAAGTTCCTCCAGGCCTCTACCATCCTCTGGAGTTCATTTAAACTCACGCCTACTGCTTTGGTGACTCCATCCAGCCACCTCATTCTCTGTCGTCCCCTTCTTCTTTTGCCCTCAATCTTTCCCAGCATTATACCCTTCTCCAGTGAGTCCTTTCTCATTAGGTGGCCAAAGATAGTGACTGACATAAAGTCATTTAGTAAACTCTATGATGAAGGTAGCCTTGGTCCCTGCTATGCTGAGTTTTCTTTAGAGAAATCAGTAATCAGCTCTATAATCTCAGTGATTCAGGAATCCAGTCTCGACTATAAAGCTGATATAATTTTTAAAAAATATGCAACTATTTTACCTTTCTCTTTTTCCTCAACCTGGCTTACCCCAAACTTTCAACAAGTGTTTCTGAAGCCTCTGAGAAAGCTCTTGTCTTAAGCTGGAATGAAAAAGAGATGTCAGCTGCCTTTTTCTTATAACAGACTAACAATTGACTGGCAGAATGGAGCCAGAATATATTTATTTAGATTTTATATTATGATTAATTACATTTATTTTACTTTATACATACCGCCCACAATCCCCAAAGGACTCTCAGTGGCTTACAATTAAAATCAAACTTAAATAAAAATGCAACAGAGCAGACGAGCACAGTACAAAATTAAAAACAAAAGTAAAAAGAAAGCTCTACAGCTCCTCTGGCTGCATGGCCTAAGAGAACAACCACATTTTCAAAAGTTTCCTGAGTGGAGGAGCCACACAAACTTCTGGAAGGGAGAACATCCCACAGCTCAGGAATTGGAACAAAGGAGATATATTTCTAACAGGGTGGCTCAGTGGCTAAGATGCTGAGCTTATCAATCAGAAAAGTCGGCAGTTCAAATCCCTAGTGATGTATAACAGAGTGAGTTCCCGTTACTTGTCCCAGCTTCTTCCAACCTAGCGGTTCGAAAGCACATAAAAATGTAAGTAGAAAAATAGAGACTCTTTGGTGGGAAGATAGCAGCGTTCTGTGCACCTTCGGCATTTAGTCATGCCGGTCACATGACCATGGAGATGTCTTTGGACAGCACTGTCTCTTCGGCTTTAAAACAGATGAGCATCCCCCCCCCTAGAGTTGGGAACGACTAGCACATATGTGTGAGGGCAACCTTTACCTTTACCTAGATATATTTCTGGGTCCTGCAATGTGAAATTCTTTAGTTTATGGGATCCAGAATACAGCTTCCCAACTGATTGGACCTGGAACTGGGGATTAGAGACAACAGGAGCATCTGATTGTGATAACGATGTATAAGATTTGAAAATGGCATAATCTGAAGGAAGGACATTTCCTTTATTTCATTCTTATTTTTATATCTAAGAAATCACTCATAAAATGTTCAGTCAGCTGTGTACTTTTTTCACCAAAACCGTTTATTAGCACGGTCTCTTTCAAAAATAAAATGCTGCATTTCTGGTTTTTATTGCTGACTTTTTAGATATGTGGACTGACATTGTTAAAATGATAAACTAATATAGAAAAAACTATAGAAGCTTGAGGATGTTCTCAAGCTTTATAAATAAAAGAGCATTACATAAATCTCCTGTTTAATCACATCATTCATATCACATACTGTACATCTGGCTGTAAAATTGTAGTTTAGAATTAGGACTTTCCTGCTTTAGAAGTATTTATTAGTTAATATATATTTTGTTCTTCCAGGTGCTGGTGAAGATTTGTCCTCTAATAAAGATTAACTACATTACTTTCAATATGATATGCATAATAAATATTTTTATCTATCTATCTATCTATCTATCTATCTATCTATCTATCTATCTATCTATCTATCTATCTATCTATCTATCATTGTCTGTCTGTCTGTCTGTCTGTCTATCTATCTATCTATCTATCTATCTATCTATCTATCTATCTATCTATCTATCATCTATTTATCATAACTATAGCATACATCAAATAATTTTGAATTCACCCAGGATATGGGGCTACATGGGACTACATGGTTTGTTCACCTGACAAACATTACGGTTTAAAACTGACATAAAATTACTTTTTCAATGACAATTTTATATCCGTGAAAAGACGTCCAGTAATCTTATGGAAAAGTTTTAAATTATTTTTGGCATCACTTTACTGTGTGCTATTAAACTGACAGTAAGTGGCTTATTATGTTGTAATGTGTTATAATCAAGAGCCTACTTTAGAAAGCAATGTATGCATCAGACAATTAAATATTGTGAATTTAGGATATCTCTTTTTAAAAACATTCCTATTTTAAAGAGTAAAGATATGTGGGAATAATGTTAGGGATGATAGGGAGAGAAATATTGCTTGAAAAAGGGATAGATAATACAGGACCTAGCCCACAACTGTATAATGGGCAAAACAAGACACACAGGAAAAAAAACTTTCTTAACTTTACAAGCTGTAATAAGACAATGGGAGATTTGTACTGTAAGACATGCAAAATTCTGTTACTGTAGCCTTAACTACTTAACTACATAGTAGAGATAGAATTATCTCATTTGGTCATGTTTTCTGTCTGGTCTATCTGACAAAGATTGACAAAAAGTGACTTTAAATGTAGTAGGTGAGATCCAGATATTCGGTTCCTTCATCATAATGGCTTTTGATACAAAGGTCTAGAAGGCTAGTTCTTTATATAACTTGCCCAAATCCTCCCACACTCTTTCAGGGGACCCTCCAGTTCTTCTTAATAGATGATAAAGAAATACAGGATGCGTATTATTTAAAAACTAGCCGATAACTCGGCATTGCCTGTGTATTTATTTATAGGGAAAATGTCCAGACCAAACATAATTGCTAATGTTGGACTTCCCCCCTTACCAGAGGGAGCCCCCTTTGGAGCACTGTAAAGCCGTTACTATGGCAACTCCTGTACAGTAGAAGCCATTTAAAGGCACAACAGGCTGCATCTTAACAGAAACACCCACCAAGGGGTGTTAGGGGTTATCTCCACAGTATTTTTCTCCAGAGAGAAAGTCTTAGACAGTGCTGATTTAGCTTCAAATAGACTACTATTCCACAGAAGTGGAAAAACGGCCCCAGTAGGCCCCAGCCTCTTTTCCCTTATAAAATGGGGAACCCCTTGAAGGTTTTCCTGAGATGAATCTACTGATAGAAATAATTCTGATAGGAAAAGATAGGTACCAAGGTACATAGCTATAAAGGTTTTGTAGATTAAAACCAACACATTAAATTGCAGCTAGAAATCTACTTGTAAGTTAATGCAGGACGATGACACAGGTATAATGTGCTTATGGAAATAAATGTCACCCCTGGGATTCTACTAAATTTGAATAAAGAGTCTATCTCAAGTTATCCTCAGGCAAGCTGATAAATAGAGCATATTGATAGGAACTTTATTAAAAGTGAAAATGTCACATTTTGTGGAAGGATAGAGTTGTCCATATAAAGAAAACGGCTTATGCAAAAGAATTTCAGTTATTTCCAAGCCAATTAATCTTTATTTAACTGAAGAATCAGAAACTGTAAAATTTCATAGTAATTCAGACATAGAAGATATATGTTTATGAAGAATTACAGTATATTTGCTACATATAAATTTACTTTATATTTTTATTGGCTGTCCTGGCATACATTAATGATTTCAGGACAAAATCAAGTAAGTCAGGAAGGAGACAACAGTAAATTAGAATTGGCCAGTTTCCTCATTTGAGAGTAATCTATAGAGCAATATATGCCAGTGACAGGTGGAAGTATGTTGGATTTCAACAACCCCTCCCAAAATACTTCTAGAAACCTCAGTCTTTTTTGTCCTTATGCAGTCCCACTGCTTACTTAATTAGTCACTATTCCAGGCTAAATAGATGGATCACTGGTGGGATTCAAAAATTTTAACTACCGGTTCTGTGGGCGTGCCTTGGTGGGCATGGTGTGGCTTGGTGGGTGTGGCTTGTGGGCATGGCAGGGGAAGGATACTGTAAAATCTCCATTCCCACCCCACTCCAGGGGAAGTTACTGCAAAATCCCCATTCTGTCCCGATCAGCTGGGACTCGGGAGACAAGAATATATGGGGAAGGAGCCAGTCAGAGGTGGCATTTACCAGTTCTTCAAACTACTCAAAATTTTCACTACCAGATCTCCAGAACTGGTCAGAACCTGCTGAATACCACCCCTGAGATGGATGTATCTGATCAGAAGGCCGGAATACAGATATTGTTATCAGGCAATTATAATCAATGGACACTTTGAAAGTTAAAGATAATGGGAAATTGATATCTCCTCTTCAAAGAAAAGTAATGCAAGAGGATATGAGAGGTTTAAGAATTGACTTATCATTCTGAACTGTAATTCCTGATTATTCAGAAACTTGCTGAATAGATATTTGCTATGACTATTATTTCATTCTGTAAGTATAAGTCAAATTAGTGTGCTTTTAATTGTAATCTACTGTCTAATTGTTAAAATTTATCTGAACTAAAGTTCAGATAAGTTTTTTCCCCCATGGAAAACAAGGTAAAACTACTCTTCAAATTTATTTGGACCCTTAGTACATTTGTAACTTTCCAAAAAAACCAATTTTTAAACTACTCCTTTTCTATTTATTCTCAATTCTTTTTAAAGTCATAAACTTGTAGTTAACATTTTCTTTTGCTAAGGATTGAAAGAAACTCACCCTATGTGTCAAACATGTTGATCCAAATAGCTGAAGAACAGTTAACAAGCAGTTTCTGAAAGAGACTAGAAAACTGAATTCCAATATTACCAATTATATAATATTTCTTTTCAGGTCCTCCTGGTAAACGAGGTAAGCGAGGAAGAAGAGGAGAGACCGGTAAGTTTTTAAACAAAAAAGTAATGCATTTTCTTTGGATGATATAAAAATATTATTTCTGGCCTTTTTTTTAGTAGATTAAGTTAATAATGTTTATTGGCTGCCTTTATTAACAACTGTACTTAAAGAGGGATGAGAGATTATGAGAGAACCCAAAAGGGATAACAACCCAGGACTGCCTTGAACAAATTCTGCTCTATAGATAATTGAGGCTGTAGCTTTTCAATCTTTTGCCACTTACCATGGTAACTGATGTGCTTGAGAATGAAATTTCCAAGTGTCTGGGAAAGGGTCTAAGTCAGTGTTTCTCAACCTTGGCGACTTTAAGTCCTGTGGACTTCAACTCCCAGAATCCACCAGCCAGCATAGCTTAAAGTTGCCAAGGTTGAGAAACACTGGTCTAAGTCAACTTACCATGGCCAACTCGCTATGAGACAACTTGCGGCAAGACAAGAGTTACACTAATATCGAAGGAAAGAAAGAATGCAAAAGGAAGGATAAAATGAAATGTGAATGACAAAAATTAAAATATTTTTTAAATTATTTTAAATAATTGAATTGTTGAATTGTTCTTTGGCGAGTTGTTTATCAGTGAGTGAATGAAAGTCTGTGATTAAATGTACTGGCCATGGCACTGTCATGCTCCTGAAAAAAAATATTTCAGGAGCAAGGAAAATTCAACTTATGCCAATCTTACTCCTTAGTTCTATTTGCATAAAATGCTATGTAGTTTAACACTAAGAGGATCAGCTGAGTCTCCTGCATGATTCAGGATAACTATAATTAGCTTGGGATTAACACCACCTTATCTGATGTTTTAATTAATTAACTAGTTAACTTAAAAAAATAACTTTCCTAATCAATAAAAGAAGGAATAAAGCACAACATAGAACATTAATTTATTCCTAATCATTGGACCAGAGGTGAAAGACCAGGAAAATATCATGCTTGTTATATATCACATTATGAATTTTGGGATTTTAATAAGAGATTTCAATAAGATGTCTTATGTGTTTAATGAGATGAATAAAGGGAACTAAATTGCTTTCTGTTAGGAAAAAGATCCTATGTATTAAATATATCTTTAGATTTAGACCTTTAAAATCAAGAAATTTCTTTAGCTGATTAGCATCGCATTATTAGCAAAAGTCTGGCTATATTTAAGTAAATTTCAATACCAGCTGTTCCGAATACCTTTTTGCAACATGAAGTCAAGAGAAAAAAGAAAGATGAGTCAAAAATTAATTGATCTGATGGTTACCGCTACCCCTTTTAATAAAGCTAACATAAATATTTGACGTTTGACAGTCTCAAGATTGGTGTATAAAAAATTAGGAAAATGTGCCAATATTGCTTCACAAAATGTGATATTTTAAGAGGGAACTTGCATAAGAGAAATAAAAAAGGAGAAGACATTTAAGAAACAATTTTTGGTTCTGTGATTAGTGGACTTGTCTATCTTGGCAAAAGTAAATGGTAAAATACAGATCCAGCCAACTCTACCTTTATTCTAAAATTAAATACTATGGGGAAAATTAATATGAGCTTACTTGGAGGTGGATGGTAGAATATAAGGTTAGGGTTACCTGAGCAGAATATAAATATTAAGAGTATACCAATTCAAAATGAGTTAAAGTAGTTTAGACCTTGCCTGGGTTTTTTTCCAGCCCTGTAAGTAGGATGCAGCTGCTTTAATGAATTAATTCATTAATATTAATGTATCTGTTAAAGCAGCTATACTGTTTTAATGAATAATGGAAAGGGACTACATTTATATAAAATCTGAAGCACTATTTTCAATGCTGTACTGATGCTGTAAAATAATTTTAATAACTAATAGTGATATTGTTCGGCTATGAATAATACTAATCTTCAAATAATATTAGTGTTTTAAAAACTCATGTGTCTATATGTATTTCTTCTTTTCTTCTGTTTTCTTTTCACAGGACCTCCTGTAAGTACAACTGTTGTACTATTGGATCTTCTGTTTATCAAGATTAGGAAAAAGGTGTTTTCAATAATGGGTAAAAGTGAGCCATATGTTAAAAGTGCCAATTTCTTTTCAAAAAGCAGTCAGTTTTATTATTAGCAATTTTTAATCTTGAATTTTGGAAAGGGGGTAAGGGGAAAAACACTATTTCAAAACTCATGTGCATTAATATTTAATATAGTATGCTAGACAGAACAATCAATACTTTAATTTTATTTTATAACAGCATATTATAATGTTATAAGAATGTTTTGCCTCAATTTATTTTTTTTTAAATCAATGGAAGTGTTCAGCTGAAGCCTCATCCATCCAAAAGTCTGCATGATGGTTTAATTTGTTTGATTGAAAGATTTAAATGTATATACTAATCAGAATGTGCCAAGTTTGTATATTAAGTAAAAATGACATATTGATCCTTTATCCTGGAAAAGGAATTGTTGCAATCGTATCAGAGATAAACCTTATAATTTCTTTCATACCATGCAGTCTATGTATTATCCACCCATTTCATTCCTTCTTCAGACTGAATCAATAGTAAAACTATAAAAAATACAGTTGCTAATCTTCTACAATCTTTACTCTACAATAAAATCTCAATTTTAGGTGACCATTTGTGGGGTGTCTTCAAATTCTGAATTCATGTTATTTGTCTGTTTAATCACTGACCATTGTTTAATAAACAAACCATAGATTTAAAGACCATTAGTCCATTAATAAGAAATCAAGATTTAAAGGTCATTAGTCCATTAAATAGAGATGAAACCCAAAATCCATTTCACAATTGTTTTACTAACAAGCAGAATTTACATATATTACAGAATATAACCTTTTGCTAAATTATGGCTGGTATTAGCCAAGTAAAATTTTGGTCTTTTTAAAATTTGTGTTAACTATGGTTGAGTAGAATGTAGTGCATTCAGTAAATTTGTCCTGTTATATTTTGCTGAACATTTTTATTTCATTTAGCAGACTTGTACATAGAATCATGCAAGCAAGCCTAATTTCATATAGCAACATATGACTTGGAGACAAAATAGCCATTGTATAAATTCTGTTTATTGAGCTTAAACATTCTTAAAAGACATCATAATTGAAAACATTACTTAAAGGAGATTAATCTTGCATATCACTTTTCTTTACTCAAACATTATTTTTTGGGAATTTATATCTGTTATTCCTCCAGCAGGCTTCTATTCTAATAGAGTTAAACTTTACTCATAAGTAACAGGTGTTTTTTTTTTTTAAAATAAAGCTTGCTAGAACTGCATTTTTCTAAGTAGTACCAGAGGTGAAATTGAGTTTGTCTACTGCTGTAAAAACAACAAGGATACTATAGCACCTTCTAGACTAATTGATTTATAATTGCATACTTTTGTGGCCCACAATCTATTTCATCTGTGGTCTACAAAAGCTAATAACATCATAATGTGAAGTCTTTTAGATCCCAGAAGATAATTTGGTAACTTTTAACAACATGCGTAATAGACTTCCAAAAATTACTTTGGTCCAAGTGTAAGTACTTCTCCTTTGTGCTAATTATTTAAATAGCCCTACAAATAGCCATACCCTAGAAAAGATGGCACTACATTAAGAGTGTCATTAACTGTAAGATTCATCAACTAAGTGGCATCTTTTTAATCAAGGTTATGTTCAAGCCCGAATAATGTAAGACTTCAGTGTATTGTAAAGAGGCACTGCCATCAATTATGAAATAATGTATTCTGGATAGGATTGAGAATGTACTAATCTGAGATTTTAAAAAATCCTTTGAAATACTATTTCCATTCATAGATAAATACATTATTCCAGCACATAGCAGAACATAAATATAAATGACCATGTTAGTTCAATATTTGATTTTTCATTGTGATCAACTATATGCCTTTGGGTACTCATAAGCCTGTGATAGAGATAGAATTCATTCTTTCCCCTTGCAATCTATAGATATCTATGGATCTTGCCATTCTTTTATTTAGCATGCATATTTTAAAAAAAAATAATGTCATACCAATCTCTCATTTAACATTAAAAAATCTAGAAAAAATCTAGAAAGAGAATATAATACATAAATACAGATGCTTGGCAAATGACTCATATTTATGACCTTTGTTGTGTCCCAGGGTCATGTGATCACCTTTTGCGGCCTTCTGACAAGCAGAGTCAATGGGGAACCCAGATTCACTTAGCAACCAGGTTACTAACCTATCAACTGCATATGATTCACTTAACAACTGTGGCAGGAAAAGTCATAAAATGGGGCCAAACTCAATACATATTTAGCTAAACAACAGAAATTAAGGACTCAATTGTGGTTGTAAATTGAGGACTACCTGTATTCCCTCCATCTGCAATAAAAATGAAAATAATAGCAATTAAGAATAACAGATATAACAGAAAATGTGGCTGCCTGTTGATGTATTGATTCAAATCAACAGGTCTATGATAAAATCAGCTGAGTAATAATCAGAATGCTTATAGTATATTCAGAAAGCACACACATTTCTTGAACTTTTATTTTCTAATCACAATGCTCAATTCACTTTAGACTTCCTCACAATCTCTGATTTAATCTAGCACTTACTTACAGGCTCTTCATTCCATTCTGCTTTCATACAGATACATTAAAGGCATATCCCTTGAAATCCAAGATGCTGATACCTTTAAACCAGGGGTGTCAAACGGGTGGCCCGTGGGTCAGATACATCATGCACAAGCCAAGCCCACCCTAGTTTCGTGAAGGGAAAAAACGGCGCAATACGTCACATGATAGCAATGTGACACTGTAAGTTTGACACCCATGCTTTAAACAGAAGACTGTTTAAATTTCATATTTTTTAATAATATGATTTTCTCTTTCTCCCTGAAATACATTTCAAAGCAGACCTTACATACATTTTGTCTGGAGTGGGATATAGCATTGTTTTTCTTCATATGCATGAATGACTTTTGTTTTAAAAGGAGCTCCCTCTTGAGTCACATAAATGGTTCATTCTGTTTACTGCCATTTTTGTTGTGTTTCTTGGAATAAATAGAGATTATCCTCTTTTTGTCCTGAGATACTTGACTTACAGTGAAATAGGCCTAGAGTATATTATTATAATTGCTTGCACAGTCAGCCAGATGTTTAAACTGGATTTGGCATTCTTATCCAGCTACCACGTCCTTCCCAAGGACCTAGGAAAGGCAGATGTTTAATAAGTGCTCCAGTCATTTTGGGATTGCCCCCAAGGGCACCTATTATTACTATTGCCTTTGCTTTTTTCCCACAATTGTTCTATTTCTACTTGTGGGACTTTGTGTTTTGTGATTTTCTCCAGTTCTTTCTCTTTTTTGCTCTCTCCAGATACTGCCACATACATTATCCAGACTTTTTTTGTTTCATTGTTGTTAAGTCTGGGGTGTTATGTGCTAGTTGCTTGTCTGCTTGAATCCTAAAGTCTTTAACTTCTCCGTTTTCTATTACTTAGTTTGCATTGTGGTTCCACCAATTCTTGCTTAGAAATTGTATTTCTTGCAGATGTTCCAATGCACCATTGTTGCTACTTTGGTATGCAGTGGTCTGTAGTCAGTGTTGGGTTTCAAAATTTTTTAGGACCCTTCTGTGGCCTGCATTTTGGGAGTGGCTTGCCGGCCATGTGACCGAGTGGGAGTGGCTTGCCAACCATGTGACTGGGTGGGCGTGGCCAACTTGTAAAATGTGGTGAAATTCACTTAACAACGCTCTTGTTTAGCAACCAAAATGTTGGCTCAGAAACTCTGGCATTTGAAGCACGCAAGTCTTAAAGCTGTCAAGTTACAAGACCTTTGCACCCCTAACCCTTTAGAAAAAACCCCCAGCGGTGTTCAAACTTGACAGCTTTAAGACTTGTGGACTTCAACTCCCAGAATTCCTCCTCTCGCTCTTCAGCTCGATGATGTGCGGAGGAGCGGGGGAAGGAAGCTGGAACCGGTTCTAAACTGCACGATAGGTTTGTGGAACCTCTTCTATAGAAGAGGTTAGAACTGGCAGGAACCCACCACGTCTCTAGTCAATCTGTACAACTTTCATGCAGCAGCTAACAAGGTGGTCAGCTGTTTCTTTAGCTTAGTTGCAGAGACAGCGTTTGCTGGGTGTTGCTGTCTTCTCTATTTGGCTTTGCAAATATTTGTTCTTAAGGCCTCTCGGTCTCTTTTTTCTATTTTCCTGTTGTTGTCACATCTTTTATCTGCATTGACTGCTATTTTTTTTAATGTATTGGCCATGTAATATTTTGCCTTGCCATCAGAGGTGGGTTCTGGCTGCTGCTACTGCCAGTTCTCTCAAGGATGCGCCCCACATGCTTGCTTGATGCACCCTACGTGCACATGTGCAGTAGTTTAAAAATGCTTCTGCCCATGCGCAGAAGCAAAAAAACCAAGATGGTGGTGCCTACGGCACTGTGGAGAGAACCAGTTTGGGGGCGTGGCAGGCTGAGTTACTACCTACTCAGCTGAACCGGTCTGAACAGGTAGGAACCCACCTCTGCTTGCCACGTATATTTTATATTCTTCATTTGGCCTTTCTTATAGGCCAGTTTGGTCTTTCCATGAAATTTTATTATTTATAATGTTATATGGCCATTTATCTCATACAATGACTTTAGTTGATTCACAACAATCCATAAAACATGGTTAAAAACATACTTTTCCCCAACCATACATCCTCATTCTATCCTAATGCTTGAGACAAGGGCCAGATCTTCACAGTCCTCTGGAAAATTAAAAGGGTACTATTTAGACTGCAAATATCCATATTACCAATAGATGGCAACTCACCTCAGTTCTGTACTGCATTGTGTGTGTGATATTCTGGATGACCACTAGGTGGCAGCAAAGTCATACAGAAATATGTATCATTTAGTGATCATTTAGTGAATTGTGCAGCCACAATTGTGCAGAACAATCCAGGCAGGCCTAGCACTCACATCTTGCTAAACAGTGAAAGG